AGACACAACAACAGTTTGGCACTTTACAGCCGCAGCCGCCCCACTGTGGCACCCGGTGTTCCCAAGGGTCTCCCATCACAACTTCAGAAGTCTGACGGGATCTGTATGGCAATGGAACTTTATGATGTCCATAAACACAACCTATCGGCTCAATAAGTTTGACAATTCCAAGTTGAACTTTAGTTTTAGCCTCACATTTGAATGAGATTTAGCAGCAGGCTAAGATGAAGCACAGAATATCAGGCCCCCACATGACAGACAGGAGGCATGAGGCTTTAAGTGGGCGTCCATAGCAGCTTTATTTTGTGTACAGCTCAATTTACCTTACATCTGAGGAGCTAATCTTGTTACGGGAGAGGCGGCCTGCTGTCAGGAATTATTCTTAGAAATGATAATCAGAGTTGTCTCACGCTGGATATACAGTATGTAGTGTATGAAAAGAGGATTTAATTCTCCAGAGGAATGGACCGAGCGCAGACATGAGCTCAGAGGGACGCTGTCACAAACACAAACACGACATATAGAGAGAATATACATCGGATTCTCCACAGCATAAAGAGGCGGAGCGGTATCATGGGAGACAAGAACAAGTGCTTTGATGTTATAATAGGAAGAGACTGTAAAAAGATATTCACTTTTAAAATCCGAGTGTGGTTGTGCAAAAAGTGATTCAATATGAGGTACAGTAATAATTGTTTGAATCAAGTGTTTTTCATCTTAATTTGAATACATTCTGTCTATAAAACAAGACTTAGAGCTGTATAAAGACAAATTCATTGCACATTCTTTTAATTGTGAACTACATTTGAGGTAAATTAAATACTTTAAATCTTCACTTAATGGCTATAGAGCTGTACATTTCTAAATATAGAGGTATACAACACATTGTAGAATTTTTTTATCAACCCGACAAAAAAGGTTGCGGCCATGTGACATCACAACCTTTGAAAGAGCCCATAGTTTAATATTAGGGCAGCTGATAATTATGTTCTTGTAAATATGGTAACTGTCAAAAGTCAGACCTCTAGAGTTTTAGGCTTAATTTCCTGGAATAATCCACAAAACATTTACATTCTTTTGTTGTCAGTACATATGGTCTAATTATTAAGTGGTGTCAATCATTAAAAACATGAGTGATGTTGGCCACTAGAAAGAACATTCCGACGTACAAATGATATGGTGGTTTTGACTAATCACGATACAATTATTTGGACATTTTCTTTTTCAACATTTCTTTCAAAAAAATTGCATGTTTCCCATAGAGTTGTTCTTCTTCTACAACATGAACAAAACCTATTGATTACTTTGATCCGTCATTGCTTTCTTGAGACACATGCTGCTGCTGACTCACACTTTTTAAAATGTCAAACATCTACACTCGTCTTCGTTCTCTTCGCTTGAATCACGTCAGACTAACTCGTCCCAGTAGGCCTCCTGTTCTCTTTAGACATGTCAGAGCCTGTCTACTGTCTTCTCCTCCGAGGAACGCTGCACTCTGGAGTTCTGTTTCCTTCGACGCAGGAGTAAATAACCACATCTCATTTACAAGACGTATGGAAATATCTATAGCAGTAACATGTTGAAATTGAAAATATGTGGTCAAATGAAGATGTACAACCAACCAGGCATTCGACGTATAAAGGACAGTTAAAAGATGATGTGGCCATGAGTAAACTTGAGAATGTTGACAGTTCTTTTGCCGTCTTGGAAATGCGTGGTTTGGTGTTTTATACGGGAGGCATGGCATTGTTTAAGTCTAAGCTGAACACCGTTCTTTTTTAGCTGTGCATATTATATGAGTTTTATAAATTGAGTTTTTATAATAGACAGTAAATATTAACGGACGTAGTCACGCCTATCTCCGCAGTTGAAACTAATCTGCCATAACTTTTGGCTTCTATGTGCAGTTTCAAAATTGCCGCGGGGGCTGGACAATGTGAAAAACCGCATCTGCGCATGCGTCAGCCGGCATGAGCCCCATTCATTTTACGAGTGCCTTCAAAATTCCACAGCGACTAAACTAGACTGGTCCAAAAAATTACACTCCCCTCAGCATTGACACACATTTGGACCATCCTGTAAAGCTGTTTTCGAGAGGTCAGAAGATGCTATGCATAAGAATGGGGTCTATGCACGGACCACTTCCACGTTTTAGTTACAACCAAACATGACTTTCTGTGCGCAGGGAACGGCTTGAGTTTCACGGGAGTTTAGCAGATGTTTACACAAGTTTCCCAAATAATGCTCAAACGGGAATTAAACTGTGAGGATACTGGGCATTTTTGGGACACAGCAGTGCTTGTTGATTGTGCTGTTATTGTGCTTTTATAAAGTTTACAAATCTCTCTGAGTGGCCACAGTCGAAGCTCTACCTCAGAGAGAAAGTACGTCAAGACTTTATGGGTCAGTCTCACAGCTGAATGTATCAATCTAATTACTAAAAAAACGTCACTACAACTCACCTAAAAGCCATAGGATAGCATAGACAGGAAGTGAACGGGCTGATCTGCGTTAACAGGAAATGACATCACGCCTCCCGTGCATATAGCCCATTGGCTGTGTCCACCAGAGGGCGCATAACGGGCAGTATAAATAGCCTAGATTTACGTCTTTTGTTGACCTCTGCACTTCCGTCTCCTGTGTCGTCGCGCCAGCCCTCTCCTGCTCCAGTGCTGCGGTGTGGCACTGTGCCCCGCAGGTCCTGCTTTTGTATATGGCCATGCTGTGTTGTCTCTTTGGCGTCTGGCCGCCCTCGTTGGGGTCCGAGTGTGTCGTAGCTGGCTGTGGGTCGGGGCCTGTAAACCGCCACTCGTCAAGAGTGTGCGCGCAACGTTGGTTGTATAAAAGCTGGAGGACTGGCCACATCGCTGCCCACCGCTGTTTCTCCCGCTGTCTCTTGTTTCTCTGTATGATTTTATGTCAATGTGAAGCACGTTGGGTTGCACTGCATGAATTGTGCTTTATAAAAAAACTTGATTGATTGATATTGGGCTATACAATGCCCTAGAGCAGTCCTTCTCAATAGGAGGTGGGGGGATGGTTCGATGCCAGGGGGGGCCACAAGGGGCCGCAGGAACATAATGTTTTTGCTGTACCGACTAGAACATCCTCCGCCTCAGCACCGAGAGAAATACACTGAGAACCTCTGCTGCACGAAACAGACTTGAATCATGGGAGCCTCAGGAAGTTTCCATGTCCTCCCCTGTGTCTCCCGCTGAAGTTTTCTCAATTAAAGCTGGGGTGTCTGACTTTTCCCTCCCATTTATCCAAAGGTAGAATGTTGTGAACAAATCCAACCACAGCATGCTGTTATCATCTTATTTATTATTGTATTTAGAAAGAGCCCAGTGAGTCAGTATTTAACTACTTGGGCCGAGTGCTAAATTTGCTTTGGCTCATGGTGCAAACAAGTTATAAATGTAAAACATTGATATAAAACAGTGTTGGGGAATTGACTTCAAAAACGTTGCAAAATGTATTTCACATTGGAGAGACCCATGAGGAAAATGCCGTTAGACTTATTAGATTTAAGCATGTTTATTGATTGAGCATGTTTGGCGCCCTAGGCCCGGGAGGGATGCTGTTGAGCACGGCGCTTGCTCGCGTGCATAATCCCCAAAAAGCGGGCCTGCGATAGGGATAGCACGACGTACTGCGCGGGCCTGAGAGCATGAGTGAGAGGCTTTTCGCACGGTTGCTCAGCCGGCTGCGTCCGCTGGGGCCCGTGTTTGTTTAGGCAGGGCGAGCTGAGAATATGAGATGCATGCTCATATTCAGCTAGACGCTGAAGCAGGGGAATCTTTGAGCGAGCTGAGAACATGCGCGCACGCGCATGTTCAGCCAGACGCTGAAGCAGAGGAATCTTTGAGCGAGCTAAGAACATGCGCGCACGCGCATGCTCAGCCAGCCGCAGCAGAGGAATCTTTGAGCGAACTGAGAACATGCGCGCACGCGCATGTTCAGCCAGCCGCAGCAGAGGAATCTTTGAGCGAACTGAGAGCATGCGCGCACGCGCATGCTCAGCCAGCCGCAGCAGAGGAATCTTTGAGCGAACTGAGAACATGCGCGCACGCGCATGTTCAGCCAGCCGCAGCAGAGGAATCTTTGAGCGAACTGAGAGCATGCGCGCACGCGCATGCTCGGCCAGCCGCAGCAGAGGAATCTTTGAGCGAACTGAGAATATGAGCGCACGCTCATATTCAGCCAGACGCTGAAGCAAGGAATCTTTGAGCGTTTGAGGAAAGTGCGTGCCGCCACCAGAATCTTATTGCTTACTTGCTTTGCTGGGAGCTTACGATGAAGCCGGTAGACGTTGTGCTGCCATGATAGCGGTCGCATCTGGCCGGATGTAGGTGGAGAAGCCGAAGAGGACCAGCGCCCCAGCCGTTGCAGAGGAAGAGTGGGGGAGCCCCAGCGAGGTCGTGCGCGTGGCAGCGCCTATCCTGAAGGAGTGGGCTGTATAGAGCTGGGGAGACAAATTGCAGAGGAGCAGTAGGGATCTTAGCTGAGCTCTGAACCAGGTTGCTGTTATGGGAAGGTTGACTGGAGTGAGAATTAGAGGTCCGTTAAAATCTCCTTTTTGCCGCGGAGGCGAGTGTAACGCATCATGGACCTGTAGGGGCAGAGAGATGTGTCGAAGCGAGCTATTATTGTGTTGCAGGCGCCTCTGATCTTTGAATGTTTGAGATGAAGGTTGAATGGTCAGGGGACATTATGTTGGGTGAGAAGAGCGACCTTTGTTTAATGCTTCCACTACGTCGAGATGATCACGCATGACAGAGATCCTCTTTCTCTGCCACGTGTGATTCCGCAGCGCGCAGGCCACGACCACTGGGAATGTCTCGTGTAGGGCAGAGGAAATGCTCCGGGGAAAGTAGCGGGCCACGGCCGGCGAACCACTGGTCCTGGAAGAATCCCCCAAAAACCCACGGAAGGGGCAGCGTCCGTGTAGAAGCGGAGACCTGTAGGGGCAGAGAGACACACCGGAGAGGGCCATTGATGTTGCAGGCGCCTTTACGCTTAGAATCTTGGGTTGGAGAGTAGATAATTAGGCCAGTAGGATAGGACGGGAAGCCGTGTCTCGGACCGCATTGAAGGTTGAGTGAGCAGTGGTGAAACGCTTATGCAGAGAAGCCACAGAAGGCGAGCAGAAGATGCTGCGAGGAGGGCAGACATGTACTTGGAAGATGAGCCGGAGTTCAGCGCCGCTGCAGGATGGGCAGCATGATGGGGAGCCTGTGATCAGAAGAGTGAAGAACCAGGTATGGATGCCTTTGATTAGGAGTCCGATTGACGGCTCAGCGCAGCTACTTGGCCAGCTGCATCTGATAGAATCAGAAGATTCAGTAGAGAGATGAAGCACGACCGCCGAAGCGACCCTGGGAGCATAGGTGCGAGTCCGGCGCAGCGCGGCATACTCAGCCGGGCTGCATCCATTAGAAGCAGGATAAGCTTCTGAGAGAATGGGTTGCAGTAGCAGTAGCAGCAGCGGCAGCAGCAGTAGCCTCAGATAATAACAGCAAAAGTCCTGTATCAAGCCGCGGCAGCAGTAGCAGCAGCAGCGTCCTTAGAAAATAACAGTAATAATTCTGTATCAAAGCCACAGCAGTAGAATGTTGTTGTAGCTGTTCAGGGTTTCAGTAAAAGAGATGCGAAGTGAAGAGAGATGGCAAAGTAAATGAAGCAGCAGCAGCAGTAGTAGCAGCAGTAGCCGTATGAAGCAGCAGCAGTAGCAGTATGAAGCAGCAGCAGCAGTAGCAGTATGAAGCAGCAGCAGCAGTAGCAGTATGAAGCAGCAGCAGCTGCAGCATCCGTCGATAATAGCAGCAATAATCCTGTATCAAAGCCAGAGCAGTAGAATATTGTTGTAGCCGTTTAGTGTTTCAGTAAAAAAGATGCGAAGTGAAGAGGGATGTCAAAGTACATGAAGCAGCAGCAGCAGCAGCGCAGCAGTAGCAGCAGCAGTAACGGTAGCAGTATGAAGCAGCAGAAGCAGCATTAGCAGTAGCAGCAGTAGCAGTATGAAGCAGCAGCGGTTGCAGCATCCGTAGATAATAACAGCCATAATCCTGTATCAAAGCCAGAGCAGTAGAATATTGTTGTAGCTGTTTGGTGTTTCAGTAAAAGAGATGCGAAGTGAAGAGAGATGTCAAGTACATGAAGCAGCAGCAGCACGGCAGCAGATGCAGTATGAAGCAGCAGCGGCAGCAGTAGCAGCAGTAACGGTAGCAGCATGAAGCAGCAGCAGCAGCAGCGGTTGCAGCATCCGTAGATAATAACAGCAATAATCCTGTATCAAGCCACCGCAGTAGAATAGAGTTGAAGCTGTTTAGTGTTTCAGTAAAAGAGATGCGCAGTGAAGAGAGGTGTCAAAGTAAAGAAGCAGCAGCAGCACGGCAGCAGATGCAGTATGAAGCAGCAGCGGCAGCAATAGCAGCAGTAGCGGCAGCAGAAGCAGCAAGCAGCAGCAGCACAATGCAATTCATACGAACAACAGACGTGTCACGCCAGCGTGCGCCGCTTGTCTCCGTGAGCCAGGTTACGTACGTGTCTGAAGAGCCGAGCCGTAGAGATAGGTGCAGCCTGGGAGCCTGCGGAGCGGCAGCGGCAGGAACAGCAGCAGCGGCACATGTAGTAGTAGGAGCAGTAGGAGCAGCAGGAGCAGGCAGCAGGGACAGGCAGCAGCAGGAATAGGCAGCAGCGGGATCAGGCATCAGTAGGAACGGCAGCAGGGACCGCAGCAGCGGCGGTCAGAGAACCATGCCCACGGTTGTTTAAGAGCCTGAGGAAATAAATCAACCCGAATCCGAAACATTCCCATGCGAGAAACAGATGTCCCCTGGAGCCAACTTGCTGCTTTGGTTATGGCAGATACGCATGAACGATCACTGATCCATGCGTTCATTAGCTCCAGCTCCACTTCAAACCCATTGCATATTCACATTGGGCCCCTTTTCTTTCTGCTGCACTTTCGAAATGCAACAACTGCAGTTTAGTTACCCAGTTTAATACTAGTGACCTAGCTATTTAAATGCATGGCCCCTCCTTCCTCCTGCAGATAGACGAATTTAAATACATCATTTAACAATAGTGACTTGCGAGTAATGAGATTGATGCTGTAAAGATGGCGCCGTGCAAGAGCTCTGTGTGTGCCGTCTGGAGCACGATGGGGTTGTCTTTGCACATTTTTTCCAACGTGGTTTTACTGCAAGTGGCAGAACATGAATCTGAATTAATGCACATTGCTCCTCTTATATCCCTCAGACGTTGGAGATTGATGCCATTTAAGATGCATTGTCCCTCAGTTAGCTCAACACGTGTAAAACGGAGCCTGCAGACCAAGCACGGGCGAAGACTGACGCCTGCAGTCAAGTGCGTAGGGCAAAAAACCAGCCACCTGCAGCCTAGACTCCGGGATTAAACTGTCCGCGGTCGGCACTCTCACTGTACTCACATGCCAGGAGACTTGGGAAAGCAACGGGACAACGCGGCACCGCCAGTCGGAGGCAGGGACATGCACGGCAGCAGACCACGAGGAACGAGCAGCACAGAACCGCGGAGGGGCCCCGCGGAGCAGCCCGCAGAAAGAGCCCGCAGAGGAGGAGAGCAGTGGAGACACGCGAACCACAGCAGGTGCAGGGACGCGGAGGAGGAGCAGACCACGAGCAGCCAGACTGAGGACAGCCGGGCCACGCGCACGAGCAACACGTGAGCAGAAAGCGACCCCTCCAGAACAACGCATGCATTTGCGAACAGGAGCGTTAGCGACATGCACCTTGCAGGCTTCAGAAGCTTGCAGACTTCAGAAGATCGGGAAATGGGCGTCTCCGGCTTTTAACTTGCTGTCCTGGTGGTTATTGGTTGACTGGGTGTGGGCGTTGCTGGTATTGATGAGTCGAGGAAGAGCAGCCTGTGGCCTGGCAGCAACAGCCGGGTCTACCACGGTGAACTTTCGCGAAAGCTCCATGTTTAATACGTCTTATTGAAGCGGTGACAGAACCCGCCGCGCGCTCCTCTTGTTACACACATTCGACTACAGCGATCCAGCTTTTGCGCGCCTCTGCCCTTTTGGAGTCAGTTAACATAATTGAAAATACACATTAACTTAGTCGAATTCACCCGGGCTCATGTTAAATGCATCAGCTTCGTTGTCTAAGCGAGTCGTTTATGTTTAATGAGAGAAATTCAAGGGGAAAAAAAGTCACAATACATTTTTCAGCCAGTGTTAATTCCCTCTAGCTGTGCAGTTGTAGGCATAATTGAATTGTGTCTTAACAGTGGTATTATTGTATTCTCATTTATGTTGCCCTACTTCTCAATAATGTTTAAAGCAGACAAAGAACAAAGAGTGGCCTATTTACACATTTTCTCACTGTTCTGTTAACAATGTCGTGCCTGGAAAGAACGCTCTATTTATCGAACAATATGACCTGTTTTTTACACTGTTAAGTAACATGGATAGTGTTCTAGTGGTCTTGCAATATTACTGAGAGTCAATTCAACTTTAAATATCACATACAATTTCCTACATGTATGAATTTGAGGTCATAATATCTAAAGCAGGGTGCTGAACTCTCACTTCCCTCACTCAGCTCTCAGCTCAAAGAGTGCAGGGTCTGATTTGTTCACAACGTTTTACTTTTACAAGACTATTTTGGTTTTGATAAATACAGATGCAACTCAGAAAATTAAATTAAAACAAATTGTTCCAATTAATTCAACTTAAAATGAGAAACCAATGTATATTGTAGACTTATTACCTGCAAAGTGACATTTTTGGTTGGTTTGGTTGGAATTTGTACTGTCCATCCATCCATTTTCTTCCCCTTAATCCATTTCTGGGTCGGGGGTGGCAGTTCTGCACCCAATTCACATAGCGCCAGCCCCTCAATGATCCTCCTGCAGGTGGTACTGTAAGTCCACAGTAGCCTTGATCTTCCAGTGGGGGCTTCAGGCAAAGTGGGGTTAAGTGTCTTGCCCAAGGACACAACGACAGCAGTCCTCAGTGGGAGTTATGAAGTAGGTCTTGTGGTGGGCTTTAACCCACGACCTTTAGGTCCAAATGCCAATACTCTACCGACTGAGCCACTGTCGCCCCAGAATTTGTACTGCTCTGTGCCAATTGTCAACATTAGACCCATTAGGCCAGGGGTCTCCAACCTTTTTCTATCGGAGAGCTACTTTTATGCAACAAAAGAGGCAGAGAGCTACTCCTTTTTGCAGTCATAATAAAAAATCTATGTAATAATTAGGACAAAACTGAGGAGAACACATAAATACACCATAAAACTGTAAAAACCCTATATTTTAACTTAAAATGTAAATTTAATTACTCAAAATATATTCATTCAAGATCATGTGTTAAATTCTAAATCCTTTGGGGAGCTACCTGAAAGGGGCTGGAGAGCTACTGGGATTAGGACTGCATTAGGCCTTGATATATCTCGGTCACCGTCTGTCTGTCATGTATTACTTTCACATTATAAAGTTGAATAAGAAGTAAATTGACTTTTGAATGGACGTTTCACTGGTATTATTTATGACAAACAAACAAGTTAGGCAGGTCCAGCTCAAATACTACAAACACCAAACTGGAACCTTGTCATCCCTGTGTTTCAGCCATCATCCAGAAGCGTCTGAAGAAAGAGAAGAAGGCCAAGAGGAAACTGCAGGAGGCGCTAGAGTACGAGTCCAAGCGGCGGGAGCAGGTGGAGCACACGTTGAAGCAGCCCTCCCCATCAGACAGCATGCGCTCACTCAACGGTCAGTTCAACACGTTATCACCAAAGTTTTACAAAAGTTTGTGTCTTGTTTGTGAAGCTTTCTGTGAATTTTAATACATTTCAAACAAGGCTATATTTGCAGACGGGTTTTTGTGACAGCTGCAGTCAGTTTACAGAGAAGATCAACATTTGATCAAGTGTTTTCAGTCTCTTATCATTTATCTGAAGAGACCATTTTAAACCAAGTTAAGTCCACGTTTTTAACATGCATACAGTGTTTCGAATACAGTCCATTCAATAATACTACAGATACATCTGATGCTTAGACAACAAAATATATTAATGATATAACAGAGAAAACTACTTAAAATATCTGACTTATTTTATACCACAACCACAATAAGAGAAAACATTTTTTTTTTCTATACAGTTTTACAAGTATTTTGTTTGCTGTCCAGCCAAAAATCCCAACATGCTATCTTACTCCTGATGATGAAGACTTTGAGAACCGTAAGAAATATTATGTGCATAAGACACTTTTTACGTTAATGTTTGTCCAGAATGTACAATGATAGAAAAATATATATATATAGCGAACTTGTCATTCATATGATTCCCCACTTTTACCTACCTAGACAGTTATAGATAAGAGTTCCTTTATTCGTCCCACAGTGGGGAAATTTCGATGTTGCAGCGCACAGACAGGACAGCAGTAAGAGCACACAGGGAGCAAACAAAATATACAAAATACACTAAGTTAGTATCTGGACTTGAAGGGTGCAATCTTCAAGCAAAAGCAAAAAGTGATCTGTAAAAGTGCAACAGATATATTCAGGCATATTGTTATTGCAGACTTGGAAATAGACATTGAATAAACAAACAGGACAAAACAATAAATCAAATTGAATGATGAGAATTCGTAACATCAACATGAATGAGTGGCCGCGTCTCACTCCCACAGACTCATGCAAGCGTCTCCAACTGTGAATCCAAACTTACAAACAAAACGATAAACAATGAATTCATATCTTTGTTTAATATTTTGGCCTATTTGTTTGATTGTGTTTTCAAAAGGCTTTAATAACAATATGCATGAGAAAACGCTATTTATTGGCATTTATATGATACAAAGCACTGGCCCCGTCTTGAAGCAGCAAACCACATCATTGTACTTTTAAGTAGAAACTGTAGAGCTGATCCGTGGCGGAAAAAAAGTCCAGGCCCGGAGTCTTATATTTCTCCTTCACTTGAGCACATTTGAAAACCCCTTGATCTGAGACAGCTCAGTGCAGTGTGTCGGCGGCAGTGCAGTCTCTCGCACGTGAGGGCTCGCGGCTCTCGTTGTTGCCCGGACGCTGCACTGGAGGTGGCAACGCTGATAGGTGTGTGTCAGAGATGTTTAACGGCTCCTTCTCTTCTCTGCAGACGCTCTGACCCCTGAGATGGAGAGTGACCGCAGCAGTGCAAGAACAGATGCTGAAAGGACAATACAAGGTACAGGCCTCAGATGAGACAATAAATCTCCCTCTCTTTCTCTGGCTCTCATTCTTCCACACGCGGTCCACCAGCACCCCTCCCATACACACACACACACGCACACACACGCACACACACGCACACACGCACACACACACACACACACACACACACACACACACACACACACACACACACACACACACACACACACACACACACACACACACACACACACACACACACACACACACACGCGCACACACACACACACCGTTTATGAACATTAGTGCTCCTGAGCCTGCTGTTCTGGCATACAGCTCGCCATCTGGGCCACCGCGCTGGGTCAAGATCATTGTTTTTCCACCAACTTAATATTGTTTTAAAGTTTCTCACAAAGTGCAGAGTAACATGTTCGTAGGTCACTGCTATGTCTATATCTATGTCTACAGTATGTCTACTGTTGATATTGATTTCCATTGAGGACAACTGAATATAAATGTGTATCTTTGTCCTTGTTTAGATTACTGCATTTTTTACTTTTCATTTAACCTTTATTTACCCAGTCCTGGACAAGAGGCAGCAAACGATACACACTTACATACAATTACAGATTATGAATACAGTTACTTGTCAATGAGGATGTCCCAAGTGCTCTGAATCTGGACTTAAAAGCATTCAATGAAATAAGTTCAGTTTAATAAAAGCAGTATATACATAGATAAATAGATTGATGGATATCTTTAAAAAAAAAAAAAAACAGGCCAAAATCACAGCCCTTTAATGATTTCTCATGTTGCCATAATTGCACAGTAAGTAAAATAGTTAAACTAGCGAATCTAGAAGGCTGCCGATAAGGAGGGAAAAGGAGATGTTTTGTTTACCGCTCTGAAAGCATTAATGAGTCATAAAACCACAAAAAGCAGCGGAATCCCCCCTTTGATAGTCATAAACGGGCCAAATCAATCCATTTTATGAATAAGCCTTGTACATTTTTAATGGTTTGTTTGTTTGTTAGCCTTGGGGGTGCTGTACGTGTTTGGGGAGGGGGTTGCTGGCAGGATAACCTCTGTAGACTGTCTCGCTATCTGTGTTTACCCAGATACAAGACACCTTACCCAGGTTGCATATCCTCATTATTACTCTCGCTGTTTTTTTTTTTAATAGGCATTCGCTGGACAACTCAAACCTCAACCTTCTTATCTGGGGTCTTGCTGTATCAGCTCTGACTAATTTGCTTTGGAAACTAGAATAACTTTTCTTTTAACTCTTTAATAGCGAGATAACACGCGTGAAAATAAACCAAGAAAATGCTTTAATTAAATCCTCTTCAGTCACATGTTTGATGTCTTAAAAGGCTCCCATATGATTTACATATGAAGATAACATTTAGATACAGCGTAATTATAGCCCTCCATTTTGCTCCAAATTGCTACATTTAGCCCTTCTCACATAAAACAAATGTGAATTAGATATTTGTCACAGCGTTCTTATTATTTTTTATAATCATGTTAAAATCACTGTAACGCGGCTACGGAGCGTGTAATTTGGCCACTCTCTCAATCACTCGACGTTTGGAAGAGAAGAAGAAGGCGGCAAATAACAGGCTGCAGGTTTTTTTGTGTTTTTTTGTTCAATTAGAGAGAAGCGTTCGTCTGCCACCCATGTCTCTCTTCTGCTCTACTCGCCGAGCCTGGCTGTATAATTAACCTCAAATGGCAAAAAATGATGTTGATAAATTACACAAGCAAAAAAAAGACAAGGAGGGGAGGGGGGGGAGCCAGCCTATCACTCGCATGAGAGGAATACATGTACGGTCTCCAAGTCCACAGTAAGGGAATGCAAAGAGAGGGAGCACAAAATAATGAGGCCATAATTTTCAAGAACTAATTATTTCTATTTGTCTTTTGTCACACTCCTATAATTCCACGATATTAACAGTCCGTGTTTATTAATTGCTTTTTACAGTGTTTTGAAAGGAGTCCAAATGAGAAAAAGGCTTGGCTCTTTTTGCAGTGCGTTCTACCTTGGCCATTATTTGTATCTGGGAACCCCCTAACCCCCCCTCAACACCCCCCCTCCGTCATATCTTTGCTCTCCCCCTCAACATCTGCACCTCTCCTCACGCACAGTGGCTTCTGGTTCGGGGGTTTCGACCCAGGCCCCACCAGTGTGCGCGCGGCAAGATAAAGTTCTTTGTTGCAAGATTAAACATCAAAACAGTTAAAGTGAAATTAAAATTAAATGAATGAATGTCACTGAAGCAAAAAAGACTGTAATTAATGGATCCCTTAATTGTCTTCATAAAATATTTGCATGGGCATAATTTGCATAATTTACATGTATTAATTAATCTTTCAAAGGAATTTTATGCTGAGAGAAGCCAAAAAAATCCCTTTGTTTTATTTAGCATCTAATGAAATATTTATCCTCTTTAATGAACTTTTCATCTTGATTTGAATAGAAAAATACTGAAGTTGGAAATATTTTTAATGAGCTGGGCCTTTTATGGAACCTCGTGTCAGGAATTGTCATTGGGTTTTTTTAGCGTGAGGCAAGATGTTTCACACTTGGTGCTAATGTTTCACAATATTGCACTGGATACAAAGAGATCAAATCTTTCCTCAATCAGACTACTGTAACATGTAAACACTTTTCTTGGTGCTACTGAAAAAAATATCCAAAAAGGGAAGTGAAATAAATCAGCGTATTTACATGTATATTTGTGCCTGTTAAAATAACTTTTAAGATGTCAGTTTTTTTCGTGTAGTCAATGATTGATTTGTTGGCTAACATTCTATCAATAAATATTTTATTCAAATTGCAAGCATTTATCTGAGAAAACAGAAAAAATGAGCAGGTGTGGTGTAAAGGGAGGAAAAAAAGTCTTTAGTCAGATGTAAAACTCTTCGTCTACAGTTTAGATTACATTTGGATAATTATTTACTATATTTTCTAATCCATAATTGCATTTGATCTGTATTGAAGCTTCATGAGGCTTGTTCGAAGCTCATTTAGTCAAAAGAAATGGATGAACAGAGAATGCCTTCATTTAGCTTTACAGCTCTAAAAATATGACCAATGGAACAAACAATGTTAGGTTTAACGTAAAGGTCAGTTCCTTTCTTAAATTGTGAAGATGGAGGGAGGTTTTTCAAACGCAATCGCCCGTTAAGACCTGCCCCCTCTGGGACCTGATTGGACACAGGTAATTCAAACCATTGATAGACATCTGACTCTCCACCTGCGAATCTTTCTGGTGAGACTTATTCCAAGGGGAGGGACTGTTTTTGATATAATGATTATGAAAAATACTTATATAGATGATACTACAGATACTACCACTATTCTAAATGAAATACAATTGAAGTTGCCTTTAATCAAGCTCCGCAGCATTTACTTTCTTTTCATCTTTTACCGACCTCTTTGCTTGTTCATGGAGCTCATTTCACAAAGTTTCACAAAATTCAAACTTACTCAATATAAAGACACTGCAAATCTTATTTTGTGCCATATTCAAAACCGGACAAACCTCACAGTATATAAAGCATCTAATAAACATTTCCCATACATTTGGAATTAAAACAATTATGCATTTAAACCATAATAAAACGTGTTGAAACAGCCTATGTTTAATCAAATCCATTTCGTTTTACCATATGCACAATTGTCGAAGCCGTTTAAGGAAATTGCTTTGACTCACGTTTAATTAATGTAAGTAAATCATTTGTTTTCATAGCACACGCTGTACTTTTACGAGTTTACGAGTAACAGGTCTCGCTGTATTTTGTACGGAGTTCTCATTAACACTATTACATCTGTGTGTTCTATAGATAGTGCAGCAGCTTAAACGCCTGCTTATGAGTGTGTGTGTGTGTGTGTGTGTGTTATCAGTGTGTGTCTCAGCCCACACTTCCTCCTCTTTACGTTATTCGGAGCCTGGCGTGGTATGCTGTAATGACTTTTACACACAACTCGCTGGTTGTTGCTTGAATAAATGCAAACGCCAGAGTGCAATGCCTCTGAGACCTACGGCAGTGCTGGGTAATTAGCCCCCCCCCCCCCCCCCCCCCCCCCTCCTCCTCCTCTGGTACCAACTCATAACACGTACACAAACACATATAACACCTATTGCTGCTCACGTAAACTGCAAAAACACTCAGACGTGCGATTTATACAGACGTAGCTGTTTGTCTGTGGGAAATTATTTCATAAAAAGCCTAAAAAAAAGTCAAAGCTGATGGGTTACCAAACTTTTTCTTATGAACACATCACCATATTAGATGTTGTTTCATTTTTTGCATGATGATGATGACTTTATCAGCAGACTCGAGGTCCAGATCAACAAGACAAAGAAAAATAAAACAAACAGACAACAATAAAAACCTCTAAACTTTCAAGAGGCAGTCATACCAATGTTTCCAAAGCAGCGACTTGTATCGTACCTCGCTGCTCACAACACTGGACAATAAAATAATCACAGCATTTTTTGAATCATTCACATGCTTCCCTGTGAGTCACTATTAGATGCTTTGGGCCGAGAGCGGAAAGGGGTCCTCTTTTTTCACTTTTCTGTCTGAAAAAGTTGATCTAAAGATGTGAAAATGCATGCATGTGATTACTGGTGATTATTAGAATATCTTAAAAAAAACAGAATGACCTATAGTAAAATTAGACACCCGAACTTAAAAGGCAATGTTAGTATCTTTTGAATACATATGGCCCTGCACTGTACGTCTGGATTGTATATTTCTGGTAGTATAGTATATATAGTCCCTCCCTCTCCATAACTACTGCCAGTAAGTTTGTTGCAGGAAAGTAGTTAAACCAACGTGGAGGCAGCTCACCCGTCAATCAAAAATAGGAAGTGATTTTGTCCAATAAAAAGAAGGAGGGTCAAAATTCTTTCTCTATCTCCACAATTTGAAAAGTAACTAACATTTACTTGTTGTCAGTTTGTTTCATAGCTAAAACAAAGTGGTGCCACATCTAGGCCTGTCACGATAAAAAAATTTTGCTTGACGATTAATTGTCTCAGAAATTATTGTGATAAGCGATAATATTGTCGTTCTGAGATCATTTTCATCCTATACAATGATAATGATACAGGTACAGCCTTAACATCCTGGTTAAGTCCTGGTTTAGTCCTGGTTTAGGTCCTGTTTTGGCTGTATTTTGTATTTTTGAGTTATTTCAGTTTGCCCGCTAGACCGCTAATGTTCCCGTGACCACTTTGCGGGTGAGAGAGAGACGGGAAAACAAACAAGCATGCAAATGGAATTTATCGCGGCCAGAATAATGATCGAGCTAATTTTAATTATCATGCGATTAATTGATTTATTGAATATTGCGACAGGCCTAGCCACATCTTCTCAAACGTTATCTTTCAGTGAAGCGAAAGATTTGAGTTACATGGAAGTTTGTGATTATAAAGAGGCTACAGACTTTCTTCTTGTATACTATTGTAAACGTACACAATATATGATGATAATGATAATAGTAATAGAAGATAACAAAATGTAGCTCAATTTAAAAATTACTCAGGAAAATACACGCAAATGCTGCCTTGAAACAATATTTTGGACATGGCAAGTATATTTGTTTTTGAATTCATACAAAAGTTAACTCAAAATGCTGAACAAAACAAGTTCAGTGCCTTGCGTGATAGAAACAACCACACAAGGCTCTAAAATCATAAGTAATCACAGTACAATCAAAAGTAGCCAATGATAAGTGCCAAACAGACTCAGGGGCGGGACCAACAGGGAGTGGGCCAATCAGGTGACAGAATTGTCCATGGTTGTTTTCTGTGTTTGTCTTAAACTGTGTTAAGTTTGCACTAAAATCCCGCTAAAATTGTAAACACAGATAAACAGAACTGATTATAACCTGGATTTAAACATTGTCAGATAAGAAGCCTGTCTTACATTTTCAGGAAGACTATTGCAGATTTTAGATGCATGAATCTGTCTCCTCTCCTTAAAGATCTATCATTAGAATAAAAACTTAATTCTTACTACTTATTATTACTTTAGATTATAACTGTGAAGTCTTTTTGACCGAATCTCCCTTACACCCTTTTTCAACTCTACAATCTATCCGTTTCTCACTGCCTGCCTTGAAACATCCCTACACTTCTCTCTGCAGAAGAAGTCACACCTGCTCATGTAGACCTGGAATCAGCCCGTGTCTTCCGCAGCCCGTGTCATGTCTAACAAGTTGGCGCGGCTAAACGTCTTTGTGTGCGCTCCTCTTTAACATTGAATTATTTAGGCCGGCTGCCATCGAGCGTCTTCTATAAAGCTTTACTGTAGCTCTGCTCGTCTCAGCAGCAAAGAGAGGGAAGGGGGGAAAGCAGAGAACGGAGGCGGCGGAAACGGTAGAAGGTAATAAACGTCAAGCGCGCTGCCGTGTTCAGCCTAACAGATGCTTTTACCAGCGCGGCGTTGGGACCGGTGCACTCGAGCAAACGCAATGGCAAAAGACAATAGTGCAATTATGGACACGGGCCGCTCGCTTAGAGGTGTCGTGGAGGTCGACTCCAATAACAGCTGTTTGAATAAGCAAACTACTGAATCCAGTTGTTGGCGGGTTTTTTGGTATTTTTTTGCACACAAACATTGCCATTATAGTTAGATGTTTGCTGTATGTATATGTTTATAAAGATTTGTCCAGTGTGCATGTAGGGAAACAACTACAGTAGCGCTTAATTTTGGGAGAAGAGGGAACTATGATATTAATTATACAAGAATAAGATAAGATAGACTTTATTGATTTCACAGTGGAGAAATTTACAAGTCACTATTGTGCATAAATAGGATCACTCAGGGTGTGCAACAGACAGGACAAGTTAAAAAGTCAAAAGTCTCTTGAATCCAATGAATTGTAAAAAGGCCGATATTTTTTTGGGATCTATTTATTATCGATAAAAAGTGGGAAATGCTGTTTGCAATGAGCCTGAATAGACTTTAATGGCAAACAAAATTCACACATTATCGTCATATCGATTGTCTTGACTTACTTACTACTTACAGCTTTGCTTCAGAAATTCAAAAGGCCAGTGGAGTATTTTATGTTCTCATTTAAGTTCATATCTTGATTTTAAATACAGGTGAAACTTTGGAAATTAGAACATCACTCAAATGTCCATTCACTTCTGAAATTCAACTTACAATGTGAAACGCGCAGAATGGATTCACTGATATCATGTTTTGGACTCACAGCTTGAAAAAAAAACCCCAAACAGAATAAGAATATTTTGATTGACTGCGAGGCCATGATCATCAAAGACTTGGCATATGTCACTTTGGACGTAATGAGTCCAGATTATAATTGTTTTCAAATGTTGTGTTAAATTACAGAAATGAATGAACTTTTGGTCGTTTTTTTTCCCTTACAATCGAGATTTACTTTAAATATTTAGGCCAAACTAAGAATTCTATACTTTGCCAACTTCTAGCAAATCAACTTATTTTCATATATATGTTTCCGGTGTTGCAATGTTTTTATTCTTTTATTTTTCAAACATGCACAAGATTTACTCACATAAAAAAGTATTATAAGCGAAAACAAGAAAAACCATATTTGCAGCTTTAGTAATATTTCAAGCATAACAGCGTTTTTTTTCCTCATTCCAATTAAGATTTACTGCCAATTTTAGGTCAAACTAATAATTCTATACTTTGCCAACTTCTAGCAAATGAGAACTTATTTTTATATATATATATATGTTTCCGATGTTGTGCTGTTTTTAGTCTTTTAGTCTAGAAAATTAGTGCAGGTTTGGAAAGAGATCGGTCGAAGTCCAGTCTGATGATCATGTCCACTTCTAATAATGTAAGTTTCCCAGAGCCGGCGTCGTGTACTGGTGGATTTCTCCTCACACACACACACACACACACTCACACACACGCACACACACACACAGATCTGGAGATGTCACCACACGCAGCGCTTCGGTATAAGTGCAGTATTATGTTCAAACAATCGTCTCAGCAGAGATGTCCTGAACACTCGCGCTACGCCTCCTGAGCGGCCATGATAGTTACCGCCTCTGCTTTGTTGCTCATAAAATATTAACGCGACACACTAATTATATTTGCATCTTCCGACTGGAGTTCATATAATTACTCAAATACGTAGGCTTTTGCTTTATGTAATATTAACTCTTAAATCCGCGGTGCCAAGAATGATACATGTCACGGTCTTCCAGAAGCAGTAATGGTGCGATTTGTTTATTTAACTACTCTGTGGTTCTCTGGGGGGTTTGTCGGACTTTATAACAGCAAGAACATACGCATCGGCGAGCAAAAAGCTAAAAAGGGAAAGACATTTTATGAAAGAATTACTGGAAAGAGTTAGTGAAGGAATGCACTGTTATTATTATATATGCTTGTTTTGTCCTTTGTGTTTTGTAAAGCACTGCGAGTTTCTGTGAGTATGAAATGTGCTTTAAACAAATAATCTTGTCATCCCCAAATATCTTAATAAAGTCAAGAAAGAGATTAAGCCAATTTTTATTATGCCAAAAGTAGAGACTCACAACCAGTCACCACAAGATGTTATTATGTTTTATGGTCAATCAATCAAATATTTATTTTCTAGAGCACATTTTAAAAAGCTAAGGCCTGCCAAAGTGCTGTACAGACAGTAAACAAATCAGCACAATAAAAACACATACAAAGACAGAAATATATATTGCACATAAAAACTTGTATTATGCTAAAGTCAGAGTTTTTGTGCTCGTGTCAAACTCATGTTTCTTCTCCATGTTAGCGTTAGAGATTTGTATTTTATTTTATTTTGGCACAGATTGATTGTTCATTTATCTTGTGCTGTGTGCTACTCATTCCTACTGTTCTGTAACTGGTGATGATGCAACACTGACATTTCTCTATTTACCCTTTACCCCTTTTCACCTTCCTCGACCATTTGGTAAATCTTTTGAATCACTATATCTATTCAAAACTTACTTGGAACTGAAATATACCTCTTCTCACTTTACATTCTTTACATTCACATTACATTCTTCAAGGAGTGAATATTAAAGGGTTAATTCTTAATACACATACCATAGATGTGAAGAGTAATTATGAAGCGAGCACAGGATATGACATGACAGCTGGAACATCTTGTCTAAACTGCTGAATGGGTTGCACTGTGGTAAATGTGCTTTTCTTTGAGCTATTGTTGAGAGAAAGATAAACAGGCAGGGTTGTATTTAGTCTAACATCGAAGTCAAGCTAAAAGGAAAGATGTGTAAAAAATGTGAGATAACAAGGACATGAGCCTGCGTCTATCGTGCGAATGTATTGTCTTACGAATTCCCCTTTATCTTTCACTAAATGTCATTGCTCCTCAGCTCGGAACAATATTTTGCCGATTGAACGCCCTTGAGTCCTTTATTACCGTTGCACATCATTTCATCTCCCGTCTTTCTTGAAATCCAGTACATTTGAACCGACCGTGTTTTGATGCCTCGTCTGATCTTTCTCTCCTCTCTGTTGCAGATGGGCGACTGTTCCTGAAGACTACAGTCATGTACTGATCAGCCAGAGAATCTGAAGAGGGGGGAGAAAAAAAACGTGGAAATAATAATAGAAAAAATACAAGAGGGAAAACCCACAGAGATTTTAAACAGCCTGGTTTAGTCAGTCAAAATGTCAAGCTGCTTGTAGGGATGGAAATGCTGTGTTCGCCCAAACGCTGGAGGTTGAATGTAGGCAAACCCGTCTCCTCGCCAACGCCAACGCCAAAACCAGTATATTGTTTTCTTACAGTTGGCCGATGTGAGGGGACTCTTACACACACTATATTGAGCACAGTAAACCCTACCAATGGTACACTGTTGGTAACGACTCCAATTCACAGCACTGAATTTTTATACTGTATCTTCGCCAGCGAGAAAAGCTTCTAAAGTGAAATTGAAGTTTTTTTTGTTTTGTATTTCAAATTGAATCGTCGACAAAGCTAGAAAACATGGAGAGCGCGGCGGCGAGGCGGAAGGAAGGAAAAGTCGTGAATCGCAATCCCGTGTGTTGAGCGAAAAGAAGAAGACTGAAGTTTTTTCTAAATTAGATGAAAATACAATCAAGTTTCCTTTTTACAAACGTTGTACATATTGCGAGGAGATGTCCCACTCTGTCACACGGAGCGGATCGGCGGCGTATGTGTATATAACGTTAAGAGGTATTGTGTATGCAGTTAGCGCTAATAGGCAAAACAATACCACCATTTATATAAACTCACACTTCTGTTTCCTTCTATTTCTGAGCCATCATCCTTTTTCCTATAGCTGCCATTTTGGTGAGAAAGCATGCAGGCATGTAAATGTTTGTCCTGGAATATGATATTTAATAAATCCTATAATGTGCTGAACTGATCCAGCGGGGGCCGACCTCACTCGCGACCCGGGATGATTTTGACAACATGATACTTTCACTTTGAAGACTTTCAATAGTACTGTAATATTTGTAACAAAGCTAATATTTCTTGGGATTAACTGTACATTTTGTCATGTCAGACACACACTCCGATGCTTTGTATAAAACGTACATGCAAAATGATGTGATGCGCTGAATAAAAGAAAAAACAATCCAATCCAACAAACGTCACGATTTGCTAATCCCTAACTTGTTTTCTACTCATATCTCATGGTATCTTGATGAAAAAAGAATTCTCATCCTAAGTTGGCATTTCGCGTTACTTTTGGTGTATAATAAAACTAGACGGACGCTGATGTCTGCAGTTTAGACTTTGTGTTCCGAGCAGAGATTCAGAGGAGGAACAAGAGAAGTGTCCCATGTTCACAATGTGTTTGTTCTTTTTGTTCTCAGTGGAGTGTCTAGGTCTGTTGTCACTGATAACTTATATAGCTTCTCGAATCATCTCTTCATTGTACTTCAAATTCAAATAAAGTTAACATGTTGATGATATAATTCCATGTACTTTGGTTTCTTTCAAAAACACACATCACAGCGAACGACATATTTACTCCTATACTGAGGATGAGACACAGAAAGAATTGTGTATATACAGTATATATATAATGCATAGTGTGTAGTGCCATTTAAAGTCTGTATGTATTTCTACTTATAGATAGATGGATACTTTATTGACCCCTGCAGGAGAAATTCATGTGCCCAGTAGCAGCAAAAAAACATCCATACACACAAACAAAACGAATTGATAATTCTAAAAAGCTAATAATAGTATATCAAACTCCTTGTTTATGTCTGTATTGTTCCGTATTCTGTATGTCTCATTGTTAGTATGTTGTTTAGTTTTAGCAGTGGGGAGCGAAAGAGCATTTGTTTCATTTTTTAAACATTTTTTTTTTACTTTTCTCATCTTTAATTCGCTGCAAAAAAAATGTGTGTATGCGTGTTTGTTTATATGTTTGTATTTATGTTTAGGACCCCCTCAAAAATGAGATGATTCCTCTCAAAGGGTTTTCCTTAATAAACTTAAACAATACTGTACTATAAACACACGGACAGCAAAATAAAATGTGATCACAAAACAATTGTTATCATTAAATAGGATTAAATACATATATTTCCCACTCCCTTTCTAACATATCATTGTCATGCTTAACTAAACAAGCGACATATGACATGCTGGATATTGTGCATATGTTCGAAATAAAGAACTTTTTAAAATATCTATAGCTCATACAAAAAAGTCCAAAATAAAATGACATTGACATCAGTTGGTCCAATGGTTCCACAGGTTTATAGTTCTTTAGAATGTGCCCAACTTTGAATGGTTACCTTACAAAGTACTGTAATACATTGTAAAGGCTGGATATATATATATATATATATATGTAATCATTGCGTACCATTTCTCTGCTTTTCAGACCCTATTGTATAAACGTTCATCCATGCCATTCTCTCTCTCTTTGCTATTTGCCCTTGTGAATCTTCTTGCTATTCATGCCGCTATTCCAAAGGCAATATTAGCGTTGGCCTAATAAAACAACTGCTGCCCTGGGGGATCATTTGTGAACAAAACGCAAACAGGTACAGCTTTTAAAATGCATCAAAAAACAGCAAACTGACATTGAGAAACAAATGTCTCCGGTAAGCAGTTCTGAGTGGAATGTGTTGACGCAGCACCGGGCCCTTCCCCTGAATCTGAATGCATTTTTACCGCCTGGCCTTAACATCGTCACACACATGAATAATTGATTGATTGCTGCATAATTCAATGCTGTATTGTAAGTAACAATAATTCAAGGCCTGGAATTTTTCAAGCCTTTTTTTTTTTTGCTCGGCTCTGTATAAAAAATGAGGTTAAAGTTTCAATCAACCTTGAAAGAACAATATGACACACAATGGGCAATCAATCACACAGGCACGCTTCCAGCTCCGTTTAGACTGCGGCTGCTCCTTCTGCAAAGTTCATTGTAGAGTGATAAAAAGTCTGCCATCAAACCAACTTCAGCTTTTAATGACTATATTTTTGCTTTTCTTTTTTTCTCGTGGTGGTTTTGCGAGTGAGGAAAGAAAAAAAAAAACTATATGATTCAGACCAACCACTTGGGAAATTACTTGAAGACGCAGAGCTCAGACGTCCCACTATATACAGTTCTATGTGTAATAAATACATATATATGGTGGAAATAGTATTCATTTTTAATATCAACAACATGTGGATATTTAACCCTTTCATGTTCGTCCCAGGGATTTTTCTCTTTTCTCGATAACAAACATTTTTTTGGACCACCTAATTTTTAAGTTAGGATAAGATCAACTTTATTGATTTTTTTCAATTATAAACCTCTACCAAATGGTTAAGATGCAGCTTGACAGTAAAAGTGTCTGATACATAGTTACACATGTGTTATAGAAAATACATTTTCAATAAATATCTAATGTAAAAACGTGACCTCGGGTGGATATTTTGAGCATAGCATATTTCAACCGAGTGATAGAGATGCCCCAATGAGTTCTAACCATGTTCCAAGTAGATATTGTGACTCGAAAAGTGATCCATCAAATGGTTGAGGAAACCATTAAAGGGTTAAAGGCTCAGTAAGTGGTCGTCTCTTCATTGCCTGGAACATGAAGTGACGGATCTGGACGTGGCTGACGACGAAGGCTCTATCTACATTTTGCAGCTATTAAATGAAACATTTTTGAATCTTGAGTATTTTAGCTTTAGCCAAATCTTGTGAAAGGAAATTAAACAGTTGGTGCTGAAGGGTTGAGAACCACTGATCTAAACAGAAAATATCACAACATTTATGGACATTTATGAACATTTACGGACATTGGTCGTCCCGCTTCATGAGGACCAATGGTTCATATGTGTTAGTGTTTCAAAACTGTTCTATTCTCTGATCTGTTTTCTGTGAATCAACTACTTTGTAAAGTCCTCTGACTGCTGTGGTTTTGTTCAGGGCTATAAAAAATTTTTTTTATGGAATTGAAGAGCCATGTGAGTCACTATATGATACGCTGGGCTGAGAGCTGATTCAATCTGGAGCGACTCGAACAGACAAAAACATGGGTATTATATCAATTGTATGTTGGTTGGCGGGTCTGACACTTAAACACATAAATTACACATTTCACTCTGAGGACAATTTTTTCAAGATTACATTTATTGTTGCTGTACAGAATGTGGTTAGGATTTGGCGCTCAGACCCCAGCAGAGCACAGCACGATTACAGGAGGGGTAAGCGATTATGAGATTAAAATCCTCCGGGGCCTAGACCCTGGTGGTGGTAGCAAGGAGAAGGATGAAGGAGCTGACCCATAACAAGGCGGGGATGGGGAGGAGGAGGGCCGCTGCGTGAGGATTTGAGAGTGTGACAGACTGATGCCGTGAAGCAACAGTGGAACGACTTTGAGCGCTGTGAGCTTAGTTCTTCCTGTCTTCCAGTCTGAATTTCCACTTTAGCTTCATTTGGCTGCTGCAGGGATGATTTGGCTGATTTAGTGTGAAAAAGTTGCTTTATGGTTGCGCTCGCTGCCAAACTTGATGCATGTGAATACAAATAAGTGTGTCAAGTAACTAGTGACAGATATGGAACATGTTAAATTGATTAAAAATACCACTTTTCTCTTTTTGAAGTTAAGTACCTCAGCTTTAGGTGTGGTAGCAAAAATGATTCTGTAAATATGAATAAAATGATGAAGTGATAATAACAGCTATTTTCCCTTGACCTAATGTTTTATCGGCGTCTCAATCCCTTGCCCTGCTTTCTCTGTGCCTGACTTTTATTCATGTATTTATGTTTTATTTGTGCTGAAGCAGAAGATTAAAAACTATTACTTAGACATTCTGTTTATTTCGCTATATCCGATGCCTTTTGAACACTCAGGAAAAGCAAGAGGCCCCCCGAGCTACATGTTCCATATCACCGCGCATTTTGTAATAAATTCAATTCAGTACAAATATGACCAAGAGGCACAAAGACTTTAAATACCAAATGTGCATTATATGGCTGTGTTGTTTGGCGTCGCCGTAGTGTGGAGAGAACAGCGGTGATTGCATATTCAGTGCATCGGAAACGGCGTGTTTATTTACACTTGTCTT